TAACAAATTTGTAGCTATTCTCTATCAATACTTTGTATTATTTAATGTTACCTTCATGCGATTACATTTGTCTAAAATTTATGTGTTATTTAATGTTTTTAAGATATTTCAGAACCTTTATTGTTAAACTAGTGCCTAGAAATGAGACATTTACGGACAAAACGTGGCATTTTTTACCATTTTTGCTTTCAGCAATAATGTATAGGTCCTTGTACCTTGAGTTTCATGCTGACTGGTTGGTGCATTCTTGGTCAGATCTGTTCTTGTACATGTCTTCTTCCATTTAGGATATAAAAAATGTATATTGGACAACCAATGTTCATATTAAAGCTTTCATATCTCCCCTGCCCCATTTATAATGTAAATGAAAAAGTAATTTCAAAACATAAACTTTAACAAAATTGTAGCTATTCTCTATCAATACTTTGTATTATTTAATGTTACCTTCATGCGATTACATTTGTCTAAAATTTATGGACAAAATTTGGCATTTTTAGCATTCTGCTTTTAGCAGTAGCATATAATTTTCCACAATTATAATTCTTTGATGATAGATTGATATATGTTTTTTATTGAATCTGTCTTCTTTGATTTAAGTTATAGAAAATGTATGTAAGACAACGAATGTTTTTATTAGAAGTCTAAGATCTCCCCTCCACCATTTAATAAGAAAACCAACAAAAATGTTATTATTATTACATGTTAATATTCTTAAAGGTGCATTATACCAAAGGTTTCTCCCCAAGACAATCAATGATGTCCTATTGTTATTGCTCATATAATATCTAACATACTATGGATATATCTTGAGAATAACTTATGGGCATATTATTGCCGAAATATTGAAATTATCAACAAAACAACCAACCTCCAGAATTAAACACAATCGATTCCTCGGCTAGCGAGGGGAATCCCCATTGAGTCACAAGCGCCTTGAACCAGGCAGCCAATACGTTCATGATAAACAAATCCAACGACCAATCAGATAACAGGAGGACTTTCCCGGTCTATTTAAACTTCAAATTGAATTAATTTCTGCGAAAATAATTAGATCGGCCAGCACAATCGCAAAAATTTACACTGAAAGAGGGCGATTTTGGGACTTCTTCTTTGGAAAGTAGATGGGTGAATATGTGGTGCAATTCAATATGCAAAAAAAGTCCAGAGGGGCCTTGATTGTGCTAGCCTCTTTAAGCTTTTCAAAAGTTTAGCACATTTATAAGCACACTATTATCAAAAAATGACACATAAATGGGCAAAATGACCAATTTTTCACTTTCAGCAATAGTTGTTTATATTTTTAGTTGAATGGTGATTAGTTGATATATTTTATATATTCAATTATGTGCCTTGTTATCTTCAAAGCATAGACAATGTGTTTTAAACACATATGTTAATATTAAAGATAAAATTACTATACTACATGTACCATATTTTTAAAAGATTACTCAAAAATAGAATAGTGCAAAATAATTTTGTAATTTCACATTTTACTCTCATATGAATCAAAGAATATGTCTATGTATAAACATGATTGTTCACAACTCTCGAACTTAATCCAGCAACAGCATGATTTTTAATATCTCCCTGGTTCTATGTTAGAGCTGCATTTCAGTCATTTTAAATGTCTAAGTTGCTCATGACACCACAAGCTATATATTTAGATATGTAAAGATCTCTAAATAATTTTTATAGTTCTGAGAAACTCATCCTAAAATATTAGGACATATGTTTCTAAGTGATCAAATTTGACCATATCAAAACATTTTTACGTGTTTTGCTAAACATGGCAAGCATATATATGGTAATAGCTACCATATGAGGAGAGAGAGTTTGGTAAGGAATATTCCTTTAACATTGAATTCCTTTGTCATGTCTGCAGCACTGTACTAGACATGGGCCATAAGGAGAGTGTCAACTTCTTCATGATTAGTATTTGATAGATTGTTGCAACTATCAGTTTTGCAAACTTTAATAGCAGCTCTGCCATAAGTGAAATTCATCCCATTTTAGAGATACAGTAACATTGCTTCACAAACCAAAGACAGCTTGTCATTTTGTAATCCTTTTCAAAATCATCTTGTTGGCCAAGCCTTTGACAACATTGCAATTGATATGAGGGAATTCAACCAATATGGCTTGATCACTGGTTATAATTATCACACTACTATACCCCATTACATTTAAATATATTCCAAGTGTTCTACTATACATTGCATAGATTCATGAGCAGTTTGCAACGTATTATTACCAGAAAGCCCAAATAGACAAAGATAGAGAATACCCGCCCCATTTGCAACTCAACTTTAAAAGTCTAATTTTTAGACTTGTATACTCATGAAGTTCCTGAAACATCTGAAAAATATCAAATAATACATAGTATTGATCTAGAATACCGACAACTTTGTTAAAGTCTATACTTTGAAATTGTTTGGTTTTTATATTTCTGGTTATTTTTTCAAAATAAATGGGGTAGGTGAGATATGTAAGCTCTAATATAATGACAGGCTGTCCAATATACATGTTTAAATACCTTAAATCAAAGTAGGCAGGCAAAAGAACAGATTTGTTCAAGAATCCATCAACCAATCAGCATAAAACTCAAGATAGAAGGAAATACAGCATATGTTATTGCTAAAAGTGGAAATGATGAAAAATTGATGAAAAATGCCAAATTTTGTTCTTAAATGTTTAATTTCTAAACATTAATTATACCATTCAATAACACATAAAGAATGGCTACATCTTTGTTAAAGTTTATACTGGTAATTTGAAGTTATTTTTTATATTTTCCGGTCATCTTCCCTTATAAATAGGGTAGGGGAGATCTGAAAGCTCTAATATGAACATTGTTTGTCCACTATACATTATCAATACCTTAAATGGAAGAAGACATGTACAAGAACAGATTTAATCAAAAATGCATCAACCAGTCAGCATAAAACTCAAGATATAAGGATCTATATGTTATTGCTGCAGGCAGCATTGATTAAAAAATGCCAAGTTTTGTCCTTAAATGTCTCATTTCTAGCCACTTGAATACCAATAAAGGTTTTTAAAAATCTTAGAAACATTAAATAACACATAATATTGATAAAGAACAGCTACAACTTTATTAAAGTTTATAATTTGAAGTTATTTTATTTTTTCATATTTCTCGTTTATTTTCCATAACAGATGGGGTAGGGGATATCTGAAAGCTCTAATGTGAACATTATTTGTCCACTATACATTTTCTATACCTTAAATGGTAGAAGACATGCACAAGAACAGATTTGATTGAAAAAGAAACAATCAGACAGCATAAAACTCAAGATATGAGGAACTATATATTACTGCTGAAAGCGAAAATGATAAAAAAAATGCAAAGTTTTGTCCTTAAATGTCTCATTTCTAGCCACTTGTATACCAATTAAGGTTTTTAAAAATCTTAAAAACATTAAATAACACATAATATTGATATAGAATAGCTACAACTTTGTTAACGTTTATAATTTCAAGTTATTTTATTTTTTCATATTTTTCGGTAATTTTGCATAATAAATGGGGTAGGGGAGATCTGAAAGCTCTCATACGAGCATTGGTTGTCCACTATACATTTTCTATACCTTAAATGGAAGAACACATGTACAAGCACACATTTAATCAAAATTGCAACAACCAGTCAGCATAAAACTCAAGATATAAGGAACTATATGTTAATGCTGAAAGCGAAAATGATTAAAAAATGCCAAATTTTGTCCTTAAATGTCACATTTCTAGACACAGGTATACTAATGAAGGTCCTGAAACATCTGAGAAACCTTACACAACACATACTATTGATATAGAATAGCCACAACTTTGTATGAGTTGAACATTTTGACTTTTTGTAGTTTCCATTTTTAGCTAATTATTTTCTAAAAATTCAAGGTATGTCTTCTTCGGACCAGTATTTAGATATGTTCGCAAGAGTTATATGCTTCGCAGGCGAAACCCCTTATGCAGGACACCCTAATAGAATAAAAAATACAGAGAAAGTCCATCCAGCTCAAAAAGTCATTTTTTCCTTAACGGAGCCTCTTAGAAAATTTTCCACCCCGAGTATATTGTATCGCTACTGTTTTCCTCTTTAACTCAAATTATATCCAGTGTGTGAATAACAAAATTACTTCACTTCAGAGAATGTCATAGCAGAATGAGCAGATGGAACTAAATTAAATACATTTTTCTTCTAAGAATAATTAATTAAAGAATCATGATTTTGACAACTCAACAATAATATTACAGACTATATATGATTTTCACATCAAGATATCTGTATTGTTACTTTATTCAATTTTACAAATAAGTTAGTTATGGTAGAAAATCTTTAGTTAATATGTACACATATATACTTGATAAAGACTAGTTTATTGAAAAGTAACCAAATAAGACAAACAAATTATAAAATTGTAAGAATTACATTACATGTAGGGAAAGACCCCCTTTTGGGGATATTATCCACAAAGTAGAAAACAAAACAAATTGATCTAAATCACCTACCCTACCCCCTCTCCATATACAGTAGTATTGATGTTAGGGTTAGAGACCCATTGGCTGGTTAAAAATGGTGTCTTGGTATTTTGAACTAAACTGGAGCAATACTATGATTCCATGCAGAAAAACATTCCAAGATGGAAAATATTGAATTTGACTGAACTCTATTAGTATTTTTGCATTTCAAAGGTTGTTGATTTTTATAATGTTTGTAATATACATACAGGCATCCTATGGGCAATGGGTATCTTTGTTTTTCTAGAAGGTACACATACCTTCATATTTTTACATAAACGCAAACATATTTGATAATCTAAAATTATTCTGATATATTTACATTCCATTATACCTGAAGATAAGTTAATCTAAATAATCATGAATTAACCAATTTGTTTTATGATAATAAATTTATGAATGAAAAAGCAATGTATATCATATGTACTGTACATAACAACTGTATAATGGGACTAATGGATTTGTAGGAAAATATGACCCTCAGGACCAAGATCCCAAAAAGTGGAAAGCAAACTTTAGGTGTGCGATCAACACCCTCCCAGATGTCAAGTTGAGTTTGACAGAGAGTCAGAAAAGGGGGAAAGATGCCTTTAAAGTATATGAACTTAAACCAGAGAAAGCGAGAAAAAGGAAAACAAAAACTCCAGCATTATCAACCAGTTTGCCCGCTGATTTAAGTAAGTCGTCAAATTTTAAAGATGACAGCAATTTTGAAATCATTAAAGAGGATTTTAGTATCAAGTGCCTTGATATGGATATTACAGAATACATCTTGTGGTAATCAAGGAAATGGGTCTTCCACTCATGATTTTCTTTATAGAAAAACATGTTCGTGTATATTAGAAACTATTAAACTATCAATAATATAAGACATTTATAAATAGATTTTTTAGAAGGATGGATTAAATACTTGTTAAAACAATCAATGATTTACAAAATTAGACAATGCTAGAAATGATTAAGACATGACACACAAAATACATATATACATTTACATGGATTTAAATTATCACATGCACAGTAAACATGCATCATAACACTTAAATTAAATAAACATAATTGTTATTTTTATTTTGCAGGTAATGCTCAACATGGAGACGAAGCACCAAGATACCATCAAGCCAGAACACAACCATACAACAATCAGAGAAGGGTAAGCTATAATGTACTTATTTCTATTTTAATATTAACAAAAAATGAGGGATGCAGAACAACAATATGAAATATGGAACATCAGGAGTAAAGGAATATGGAAAAAGGAATGTGGAATACTGTGCCCCAAAAAATATGCACTTTGATGGTATGAAAAATAAAGAATAAGAAAAAATGAAAAAATGATATTAAATATTTTAATTTTTTTCAAAACAGGCTTCATCAAAGACTGTTACATTGGAAGATAAGAAAAGGATGCTGCAAGAGGCCAAAAAGAGAACATCTGACCCTATCTCCATTCCAAACGCAAAGAACAACATTAAACAAGAAGGTGAGAAGAAAATTAGAAAAAAATTAAATCAATGCTTAACCTATATTTAATTAAATTTTAAATTATCAACATAAGTGTTGTCGAAAGCTGAAAAAAATCAATTTTCCCTTTTGAGTAATGAGACACAAACAAGATTGAACAATGTTGTTTTTCATAGTAGGTGGAATTACACCTACGATGTAAAAGCGCTTTTTAAAATCCTATAGGGTTTCGACCCGCCTTTAGAGTCAGGTGTAATCACGATCGCGGATTTAGAAAAGCGCTTTTGTAATCCTCCCAGACCCCTAGTCATTAAAAACCGCTTTCACACCCAAAGGCGGTTTAACGTGTAGGTGTAATACCGATTGGTTTTCAAGGCGCTTTAACTCAATTTTACACTGAACGAAAACTATATTTGCGCATGAGCATCAAGCATGTTATTGATTTCCGGTGTGGAGGAAACTTCAAAAAACAAAATTCAAATATTGTGCCAAATATCTCTCTACCCATCCGAAAGTTCCTTCGAAAATCATCATTATTCCACGTTCTACAAAGAACAACGCAATTTGTAAATAGAATAACCGTAAATTAAATAAATAATATAATACTATTGACGACGGATATTGATGATTAAGCATCCCGAACAGAAGAAAGAAGCTAATATTTTGAGCACCATAGTATTATGATAATAGCTCTTCTCGATCACTTTGACGCTCACTGGGCCAAAAATCTAAAGTCTTATATTTATACGCCCATGGGCGTATAAAAAATGATAAAATAACGGACGAAATTACCCCTTCTTTCAATTATACGCCCAGGGCTTATATACGAGAAATTCCGGTACTATTGTAGATTGGGGAAGGCGAGGGGAGGGGATGATTGAATAGTTGAAATTACCTCTCTAAAATGAAGTCAAAAAAATGACGAGATCTTTGTCTTGTCCACATCGTTCGTTCCTGTCCCATATTACCAAGGATGCCAAACAGCCCCAACAAAAGTACCATCTTCATTTTACTGGATCTCTCTTGGATCTCTCCTAACGACCGAGCTTCTCTCTTTGCGCGCTTGTGCATTGTTTTCCATGCTTTCTTTAGCACATATTTGTTAACGCCAGAGGTAGATTGAATACGATTTAAGAAAAAAAGGAACATACAGTATCGGATCATTTTGAATCTCCAGAGATGGCGCTACGGTTGAAAGTGTATATCTAAATAGCAGATTTTGATGCAAATGCGATGGTTGATGGCAAATTTTTGTCTTAAATCAGTCTAAAAGCGCTTTAGAAAAACCAAGTGTAATCACGAAAAGTTGTCTTCAAGGCGCTTTTAAAATTCTGGTGTAATCAGGATTGCGGTTTTCTAGCCTACATTACCCAAAACGCCTTGAAAACGCCTTTAGCCATGAAATAGGTGTAATTCCACTAAGTATAAGCAAGAGAAAGTACATGAGTTTGGGGAAATGTATTGCATTAAATAAATTATAAATACATAACAACATTGCATGAACATTACATATATAGCTTTCTTGTGTTGACTCTCTGTTGCCATAACTATGATATATTAGTCACATAAAAGCACATAAACAGTTATCTTGATAGCAACATAGCTGCTATTAAAGTATACTACCAATATAACAATCTATTTTTCAAATGTACTTTTACAATAGATACAAATATACATGTACACTCACACAATAAAACTTCGAACTCAGGAAGGCCAAAACTGTTTCCTCTTTTCAATAAAATATTTTCCTTTTATTTTTTTCAGCAGAAGTGCTGTATTCAAATGAAATAGGTAAGAGCCTACAATAGCTAATATTTGTTTCAAACCTTGTGAAAACATTCTATTTTGCATGTCATACCCATTGACATGGTTTAAGAAAACAAATCATACCAGAGTTTTGCAAAGTTTGGAAATTAACAATTTGATCAAGGAGCACTATTACCAACAGATTAAAATACTCAAAACATCAAATCAAACCTTTATATATGATAAAAATCTTGCTGACTTATGATTAAACAAATAAAAGTTACAAAATATGGGAAATAAGCAACCCAGCTCAGGAGATTCTGATGCACAAATGTTTGATCAAAATATTTTAAATATAGATTTCTAAACAAGGAACTTGTAGGACATAAAATCCAATACTTTCATTAATGTTCAAATCTTGAACATAGAACTGATCATAAAAGCATTATATACATGTATGTTCAATATCCTGGCAGATATTTATTCACCACACACAGTGGAATTACAAACAGCATAAGAATATTGTAGGTTTAAATTCTTTCCATTCGAACCAAAATGATGTCTTTTGTCAGAGTAAAAAATCTGTTTAAAGTGATAGTATCCTTTACTTCCTCTTCAAACGAAATACATTTATGATGACATCATCGATACATAACTTTGAAATTGATGGCATTTTGATATTTCCTGTCAATATAAATACAGGGAGCTATTATATCTAAGCTAGGTTTTAAATAACCATGAACAATATAAAAGATGTTTATTATCTCATATCCGCCTAATAAAATATCGGAACTGTATTAAAAGTGTGTAATTCTAAGTATTGTTAACATAATTATTTTTTGTAGAGCATTCAACAAGGAAACAATTAAAAACTGTTAATATATTGGAAAAATATTAAAACCGTTAAATTCTAAATAATCATTAACCCTTCAGTTCTTAGAAAAAACATCTTATGATAACATACAATGTCACAACAGTTCATCTATCATACTTGTACAATTGAGTCAAGTAATACTTCTTCAATTCATAACAGTCAACAAGACATAAGTACTGACTGGCCTGGATTTATATATACTGAATTTACATAAGTTTCATACTTGTCAAATACATGAATCTTTCTTTGATATGTCTGTTTTGTGATTTATATAGTTTTGAAACCCTCATTTATTGACCTCGTACTTTTTGACATAGCTAATAAATCTAAAATATAAATTTTATTGAGTATAATATATTAAATTTTATTGAGTATAATATTTTTTTTTTTTGCATGCCATTTTGCATGACTGAAACTCAATACAAAGTTAATAAATAATATAAGTTGTGTCTGAGTTGTAAGTTTTGAAGATAAGAGGTTCACGTCATGATATATGGTGTCTGTCAATATTATTTTGTTTTGTACCACAAGGTCAAGGTCAGTTTGAGTGTATGATGCAATATACAATCCGACAGTTTAGCAACATCAACTCCTCTTTTTGATCTTGTGTGAAAGTCCTGAGTTGATATAAATATCTGGATGAGTGAGCATAGAGAATGAGTGCAGATATTGATATCAATGAGTGGATTTAAATGATATCACGAAAATTCATAGGATGTATAGGATATACTATGAATTTGAGGGATATCATTTTTATCCACAAGTTGATATCAATATCTGGACGAGTTCACTTACAAAACTAAAACAAGCATTTCAAAACAACATTCATTCATTTAAGGTAGCCTAAAATGCTGCTTATTCTTTCGTGAAGCCACTCAGTAGAATTACGATTTCTCTGCACCCTGATGTCCAATCAAGATCATTGGAGTATCTATGTGTTCTTGACACGTTTGGGCATTCGGTAATGACAATGTCTACCCAATGTTTGCAAAGAAAATAGACGTCATTCATGACTGAATCGGGAAGACAAAAATTTGTGATATTCCTTGAGAATTGTGTAATATATTTACATGTTATCATACAGATTTGACCTCAACTATGGAATAATTATATTCATCTATATTACCTATTTATTATTTCTTAGATTCTTCTTAATTTCTGACCTATTATGATTGGAGGAAAATTAAATTTCTAACATAAACATCACTTATCAGAGTATTGCATGGAGAAGGATATTAGGTTTGCCAAACTGTTGGAGTGGAGTGTACTCTGTCAAAAAGCCATAAAGATAGGATTTAATGACAAGCCTATAAAACATAAATTATTCATTTGAAGGACACTAATATTGTTTGTTGATATTTTAACAAGTTAAAAGTATAGTACTAGTCTATAGTAATATTCTATTTCCTGTATTAACCTACCAAATGGTTATTTTGATAATTTATATGAATTATTGGAGGTCAAATTCTTCTGTCTCATATGTCCTGATATGTTTCTGTAGTTACATCCAATTACCATGAAAAATGACTATCTCTATCCTTGACAAGAGCAAGATGTTGCTTACACTCTTTGAATTCTAACCTTAAATCCTGGAGTTAGATAATGTAGTGAGAAAATTACAACATACATTTCATTTATTTTCTACATTTAATACGATCAATTCATTTCACATTCAAACTCTCACAAAAGACCTGATGAATGCTAAATATGAAAATGTAAAGATTCGAGCATCAAATTGAAATATCATCCGTAATAGTCAGGAGGTAGTATGTGTTTAATGTTGGCAAATCAGGGTACCTTAAACAGTTTTAATATTGTGATCCCAGGTGACTACTGGAAGGATATGTTCAGCTCCACCATGAGCTCAACCTTCAAAGGGATCCATTCAGGCTGCCAGATGACCATAAGAGATATAGCTTTAGAGCAATATATGATGTCTCCTTTTAATGAAGGTGATTATTGCATGTCTTCCTCTTGCATCATGCTCTTGTAATGCCCCCTCCCCCTCCAACTTACGTACATTGTGTCTAGCAACTAATAATCACATGTCTAACAACCTCATCATGACTTGTCTACTTTTTTATTCATTGAAGGTTAATTAATATTGCATTCTTTTCTCTCGTTTTGTATCAAGCTTCCCCCAAACTTATACTTGAGCTAATTAATGTCTAGCAGTATTATCATGTCTAGCAGTTTAGTCATGTCTAGTGACATAGGAATGTTTAGCAGTATAATCATGTATAGCAGTTTAGTCATGTCTAATGACACAGGAATGTTTAACAGTATTATCATATATAGCAGTTTAGTCATGTCTAGTGACATAGGAATGTTTAGCAGTGTAATCATGTATAGCAGTTTAGTCATGTCCAGTGACATAGGAATGTTTAGCACTATAATCATGTATAGCAGTTTAGTCATGTCTAGTAACATAGGAATGTTTAGCAGTATAATCATGTATAGCACTTTAGTCATGTCTAATGACACAGGAATGTTTAGCAGTATTATCATGTATAGCAGTTTAGTCATGTCTAGTGACATAGGAATGTTTAGCAGTATTATCATATATAGCAGTTTAGTCATGTCTAGTGACATATGAATGTTTAGCAGTATAATCATGTATAGCAGTTTAGTCATGTCTAGTGACATAGGAATGTTTATAGCAGTTTAGTCATGTCTAGTGACATAGGAATGTTTAGCAGTATTATCATGTATAGCAGTTTAGTCATGTCTAGTAACATGGAAATGTTTAGCAGTATAATCATGTATAGCAGTTTAGTCATGTATTGTGACATAGGAATGTTTAGCAGTATTATCATGTATAGCAGTTTAGTCATGTCTAGTGACATAGGAATGTTTAGCAGTATAATCATGTATAGCAGTCTAGTCAAATCTAGTGACATAGGAATGTTTAGCAGTATTATCATGTATAGCAGTTTAGTCATGTCTAGTGACATAAGAATGTTTAGCAGTGTAATCATGTATAGCAGTTTAGTCATGTCTAGTGACATAGGAATGTTTAGCAGTATTATCATGTATCAGTAGTATCATGTATCATCCGTGGGCATTACACATTTATATTTCATTTTTGTACTTAAGTAATTTGTAGTTATTTGTATGCTTTGTATATGACCCCTGATGGGGATTGAAATACAATAAAGCTAATAAATTTGTATAGCAGTTTAGTCATGTCTAGTGACATAGGAATGTTTAGCAGTATAATCATGTATAGCAGTTTAGTCATGTCTAGTGACATAGGAATGTTTAGCAGTATAATCATGTATAGCAGTTTAGTCATGTCTAGTGACATGGGAATGTTTAGCAGTATTATCATATATAGCAGTTTAGTCATGTCTAGTGACATAGGAATGTTTAGCAGTATAATCATGTATAGCAGTTTAGTCATGTCTAGTGACATAAGAATGTTTAGCAGTATAATCATGTATAGCAGTTTAGTCATGTCTAGTGACATAGGAATGTTTAGCAGTATAATCATGTATAGCAGTTTAGTCATGTCTAGTGACATGGGAATGTTTAGCAGTATTATCATATATAGCAGTTTAGTCATGTCTAGTGACATGGGAATGTTTAGCAGTATAATCATGTATAGCAGTTTAGTCATGTCTAGTGACATGGGAATGTTTAGCAGTATAATCATATATAGCAGTTTAGTCATGTATTGTGACATAGGAATGTTTAGCAGTATTATCATGTATAGCAGTCTAGTCATGTCTAGTGACATAGGAATGTTTAGCAGTATTATCATGTATAGCAGTTTAGTCATGTCTAGTGACATGGGAATGTTTAGCAGTATTATCATATATAGCAGTTTAGTCATGTATTGTGACATAGGAATGTTTAGCAGTATTATCATGTATAGCAGTCTAGTCATGTCTAGTGACATAGGAATGTTTAGCAGTATTATCATGTTTAGCAGTATTATCATGTATAACAGTTTAGTCATGTCCAGTGACATAAGAATGTTTAGCAGTATAATCATGTATAGCAGTTTAGTCATGTCTAGTGACATAAGAATGTTTAGCAGTAAAATCATGTATAGCAGTTTAGTCATGTCTAGTGACATAAGAATGTTTAGCAGTGTAATCATGTATAGCAGTTTAGTCATGTCTAGTGACATAGGAATGTTTAGCAGTATAATAATGTATAGCAGTTTAGTCATGTCTAGTGACATAAGAATGTTTAGCAGTATAATCATGTATAGCAGTTTAGTCATGTCTAGTGACATAAAAATGTTTAGCAGTATAATCATGTATAGCAGTTTAGTCATGTCTAGTGACATAAGAATGTTTAGCGATATTATCATATATAGCAGTTTAGTCATGTCTAGTGACATAGGAATGTTTAGCGATATTATCATATATAGCAGTTTAGTCATGTCTAGTGACATAGGAATGTTTAGCAGTATTATCATGCATAGCAGTGAAATCATGTCTAACTGGAGTTAAATACTGCATGGCTTTCTCAAATCTGCCAAGGGTTGTGTTAATACCCAGGGATATTACCTATAATGGGCTAGAATGAAGTTGAGAGTATTAGCTTCGAAAGAAATTGTGACAATTTACAGTATTTTTTGCTTTCATCATTCTAAGGCATGCCTTATACGGATAAAAGTCCAACAGTTTTGACTTTATTTTAGGCGACCCTTCAATTTTTAATATTACCCCCTTTTCAATTCTAATGATTTGAACAATGCTGCATCTTGAAGCTTCAATAATCTTTATATTTGATCAGATAACTCAATTCCCCTTTTAGAAAATAAAATTGGGATTGTAAGATCGAGTCATCAATGGGATTTACGATTTTTAAGATCTAATTTCTTAGAATATGCATGCTCATATCATAACCATGTCTGGCCAAACTCAACTGAGTTCTGTGTACATGTATATCATTCTAAGCCTGTCGATGGGAGTCTTAACACTTTACAGCTTTTTACAGTCTAATCATTTATAACTATCTAATCTAGTCAAAATCTAACCCAGCCCAACAGTCTAAGATCACACCTAGTAGTCAATAAACCAACCCCATGTCTAACATTCTATATAATATAAATCAATCTTGAATCTCAAAATCTTTACAATTACCAACAAAAAACTCAGACTGTCTTCATTTACTTCAAATGCATACATTTATAAATAAACATGAAGAAAAGTGCTGCGCTGTTTGCTGATTGGTTGAAAGCAAAACTTGATTGACCAGAGAGCCAGAGGGTACTATATGTCAGTTAATCAATCAATCAATCAATTATCTTGGGGTAAAATTAATTTCAAATTTGAAGAATGCAGTTACTATTTATTTACAGATATGGACGGCCAATCAGATACAAGTAGTGTTATGCTCCATAGCCCCAGTTCAAGTTCAAGGAGACCTAGTATAAGTGGAGAGTCTGATAATAGTGATAGAGGCAATAATGAAGATGATCTTATTGTTGAGGTAAATACAAACATTTGAATGTATGTATGAAAGTCGATCATTCAAAGTGATCTAACTATATAACCCATCCAATGATGTTCTACTTTAAGTGGTTATAGATTAGCATATTTTTGTGCAAGTATTTTTCACTTTTCGTCCTATTCAAAACTTCACCCCAGTTCAAAACCAATCCATAAAATTAGTATAAAACAACAAACACCATATTATATATAGAGAGCATTTATCTGTTTCTAAATTTGGGGAAAAGTGTATAACAACCCAAATCACTATAACTCAAAGTAAAGATTAAGTAATAAGTAAAAAAACACACAAAACACAACTATTTCAATTTTCAATTTTATTTATTATACCATCGACCAAATAAAGGGTATTAGGCAAAAGTGCATACAGTAAATAAGTATATTATTGGTATTATTCTATTGCATAGAGAATTATTTTCCAGTTGGTTGATAGAATGAGAAGGGATTCTGAGACAGGGTCACCTACGAGGAGTTTAACATCCCCACCTTTACAGAGTGCCCACCTGCAGTTCTCAGAGTATTCTAGAGGCAGTGATGACAGCCCACCAATAATTCAAGAAGGCCCCAACAATTACCCAATGCCAAATCTTTACCAAAATGGACCCCTGGATCCATTCCCTCAACATCATAGTGCACCAAATTTTTCATCACAAAAGATGACAAATATGTTTGATGCTTTTCCGGACTTCTCCAACACACCGGAAATTCCAGTAACAGTTGATTTGCTTAATCCAGGTAAAAAATTTTATTTTTATTATTTTTTATTATTGTTTCACAATAGGGAGGTTAAGTTAGCACTTTTTAAAGAACTCAATTTGAACATGTTCAATTGTTATGGTGCCCTGATAACTAGTTCAACCCCTCAGCTCTGGCTGAGCCTAAAAAAGGTAATTCAAACAATTAATAACTCAGTCATTCAGCATAGGTTTAACATCATATTTGACACAATTAACCTCATTCAGTATTCTTTCCTTCTGCTACATTTCATTGGTCTATCCTTCAACAGTCATGATTTTGTGATTTTTATATATGGGGCTAATGCTTACAATAACAACCTTTCAAACATTGTAACAAGAGATAAGAAGGAAGATGAGAGCCATAGCACAAGATGTCTGTGCTCCTGCAGCAGTGAACAACTACACCCTATATTACTACACCCTATATTATGTACCATATTAATCATAAGAGTTTAGGTATTCACAATTGAACTTAATATTGTTTCAAACAGTAATCTTTTATAATTTTTGTTATATCCATATACAAGTAAGTGTAAATAGCAAATATACAAGTAAGTATAAATAGCAAATATACAAGTAAGTATAAATAGCAAATATACAAGTACAAGTAAGTGTAAGTGGCAAATGTTTGCTAATTCTGACTCAATATGTAAGTAGATTTGAATAATTTGTTATGTTCATGTATATTAAATTGGTACTTTTCAGTTGAAACAACACATGTAACTATGGAGGACCATACATATACCAATCTTGCACCAGTAACCACACAAACAATGGCAGGACTTCAGCCAATGGCACAACATTACACAAACTCAATACAAGTGCAAGAAGGGCCTAGGGTCATGGCAGAGACTATACCATCACCACGGGATCATTTTTTAGCTGCAATGCAGGTCGATGACAATACTACATGGTCTTATCAAGACAATCAACAGGACTCTATTGCAAAACATACTTGAGAATCTGAAAGTCTAGCATTTCTTCCAATTTTTAGAGGAAATATTACACAATTTAATTTTCTATAAAATAAAAATGTAAAATACAAGAGCAAAAAGCAATTGCATACTCAAAATGTGTAAAAATTCAGGAAATTATACAGTTTCTCCATGCAAATCAAAAATATAGAAAAGCAGATTGAGAAAAGCCAAGCCTTATATTGATAATTGGATCTCTCCACTATAAGTAAACTTCTCAACTGTGATAGGAAGATGTGAACAAAGGGGAATGGGTCTCATATATAATAGACCTATTTTGAGTTCAATGGAAAAAATATTAATTAGCGATAGAGATACTTACTTCAGCTATGTACATGTGTTCATTGTTCAATCAACAAATACATTTATATAAAGTGGGTCGAGTAAATGCTGAAGTGCAATTTTACTACTGAATGAGATTGAAGGAGATAGTGGAAAAGTAAAGTGAATGGCTTATATCTAGTGAACACATTTCTATTAACTTATGCATCAAAACTCTCTCTGTACTGAACACCTACATAGAGAGAGTATATTTTTGTCACTCCTAAGGTGATTACTATGTACAGATTTTTCTTGTATTGTACTATACTTGTATTCTACCTTACACATATGATATATATTTTCCGCAGTTATTCTACACTTAGGCTAGAGTTACTAAACAAATGTTAAGCAATAGTGTTTTCTTATTTAACAAAACACAAATGGATGAGATATTACCTGAATCAATTCATTTTCCATATAAATGCCAATTGGAGGTCATCATTGTTATTAGTAGTTTAAGATAAAGAAGATGCTAAACATGTTTACTACTCTAGCCTAAAAATGTACATAAACTGTAAATAAGTTTTGTTTATATAAGCTTGTACAATCCTCAGCAATAATTACTTATTGAAGCACCATGTCTTTAACAGCTTACCAACTTCTCTTCTGCCCTTATGCAAATAAGTATGAGAATAATTAGAAAGATAACAAGGGGAGGGGGCACATCCCAAGGTACCAAGATTAAACATTGAAGTAACCACAAGTAAACCTGACTTTTTATCACAATGCAGTATTAGAAACATAGATCTCATCAGCCCATGTTTACCTAATCTCACTCCATATATGTATTGCAGATCTCATTAACCCATGTCTCTAAGAATTTTTCGCTCCAAGCTTCTCAGGTTTTGTCAACCCATGTTTCTCAGACTTCGTCACCTTCCATGTTTCAAAAATCTTAAGCACCTCATGTTATGGAGATTTTCCTTCATCGTTTTTTCATATTTTATCATCTCACATTCCTCATCAACCCATGTTTCTCATATTTTGTCACCTTAGTGTTTCAAAAATTTTAAGCACCTCATGTTTTGGAGATTTTTTCACTCCATATTTTTCATACATTAACAACTCATGTTTCTCAGATCTCACCACCCTGTTTTCCACATGGGTCTATATCTCTTAATATCTTCAGTATTAAAGATGAATATATTAATTTTCATACATTGGAAGTTCAGTTCTAATAAATAAAGAACGGAGTAATAAATAAAATGGCAATTTTGCATTTTAAGCTTATCCCATCTTGGATGGATTATATACAGTATTAATAGCCATATAATTTACATACCTTCATAAATACTATATTACCATTCACTCATTACATTATTGTATATAACTAAAAAGTATAAGATAATAATATATAGCAGTTTGTTTGAAGAGTAACTTTGAGGATCTATATCTCTAAATATATTTTCCTCAAAGATACTCTCCACGCATTCTGCTACCCGGTGTGCCATACAAACATTTCCATACAAACATTGTTAAAGGGGCTATTGCTTTAACATGTCTATTCATTTCATTGATCTTTTGATAAATGACACGCATGTATGTAATATGCTGTAAATAGTCTTAGAAAGTAGCAATTTATTAGTCATGCATCATGTCTCTGAACTCATCCTACCCCTCCTTAGTTCTTTTTGGGGATCTTGGAGGGATTCAAATGCTTGATGCAAGACTATCAATTTATGATATGTTAAAATAGTGCCATATTTTACATGGTATTTATCTATAATACAGCTTCATTGCACCTTTATATTATTGTACATATACAATTGTATGTATTGTACTATATATTTACAATAAGAGTTTGTCTTACCCAGATGAAGGTTATATCTGGAGACAGATATGGAAGAGAAAAACAGATTATTAAAAATGATTTTTTTGAAAAAAATATATTCATATTTAAAACAAGATCTTACATAGGCAATAAAAGCTTCTAGAAATCCAATTGGTCTGATACAAACCTTCCAACTATCCTTGGATACATTGTTTTAGAAGTGTCATTTTTAGTACACAAATGAACATTTTACAGGACCTATTCAACAAAATGCAATGAATAAAGTAGTACTTAGTATGAAACATATGGTTAGGCAAATGTAAAAGATACTGGATGATATAAACTCTCAAAAACTCAAGTATATTTTTGCTGTATTTCAGAATGTATCATTTTTAACAGGTATAATAAAAAGAAATGAAGAAATAGGCCCTGGTTGAAGTGCTTATATTTTGAAATTTGAAATCTCTGGAGGCTTTATGCCAAATTACTGTATATGTAGAGCTTCTAGAGGACAGAGTTTTTTATCCTGAAGAACCCAAAAGATGTTTGAATGCAAAATCACCTGTAACTTGCAGTGCCCCTATCGACATTGGTATGCGATTTTGGTATTTTAACAATGAACAGAATAAAATTTTCAGTCATATAAAACGCTATAAATCATAAAATCTCGGTCTTTATTCCTTAATTCAAATTGCAAAAATGGGGAAAATGTTAAAATTATCCCAAATAATAAAAATGGCAACCATATTTATAAAGTAAAGAATGATGTGAGCCAAAAATATTCTATAATTGAAACAATTTTTTGTAAAGCCCACTCGCTGGGTCTGATTCTCCCTTTAATACTCCTGAGTCACTCACTTTTAAAAAAATCTGCCAACGTCTATACTGATGGTGCAAGGAACATATCAAAACATATTTGGGGGATTCTAGAGTAACAAATATTGATATTTTGTATTGACTTCCTTGTCATGTTTTTCCTATTGCATAATAGCTGTCATTTGTATTTTTCAAATAATATTATGTAATGCACATTTACTATGTACTTATTTTTGTAAATAATAAATATAAAAACAATAGATTCAAATTATGAGTCTTTTGTTTTGTAAATAATTAACCAGGAGTCCGTTTTTGTACCATTCGTAGTAATGAACGTTCGCAATTCGTAAATATTTAAAAAGTTGCGAATGAGTTACGAATTTGTAAAGTTTGTAAAATGGACCATTTTTGTATGCTTTCGTAAGTCATTCGTAATTTTTAATTGTTTAGAGCTAGATTTATGAATGGGTTGATGGCATATTCCACCGTTGTCAGGACAGATAGTACATCAAACAGGGTTTATTAAAATAATAAAACCAAAGTCATACAATAAGAACTTTATAACATGTATAAAAATAAAGATTCCATGAAAAATACTAAAACTAAAATATAGAAAAATGTTGATAATAAGTTGGTCACGGTGTTGACCTTTGTGGTCACTGATTTAGAATGACAAAACGTCACAAATCACAATATAAATGAATAAATAAGAAGCCGTTGGCAAAGTTACGAAAGAGTTTGAGGTGCTATTAAATCTACGAACAAAAGCAAGCATGATGTCACTATTTTCATAGTTCATAACTTTACGAATCTTACGAAAATGCAACTTTATGAAATTCGCAAATTAAACAATGGACTTACGAACGGTACAAAAATGAGCTGATGACCATAAATCAATATTTTTGACAAACCAAAATTTATAACTGCAAGAAGTAACATCTTATCATAAAGCAGGGACTTGACAAAATGCTAATTTTTCTGGATTCTATGCAGGATTTTAAACTCCTATTTGAGCCAGGCCACAGGAAAAGGGGTCTTATCACAGATTTTTTCAATATTCTGATTTTTTGTTTATCTTAGAAAAGCACAAATAGACCTTTCAAATGAGCCATGGCTTGTGTCTTAACAATTTTTCCTTGCATATATAAACCAATAAGTCGGATTTGAATTTGGCACATTTTCCTCTTAATCTTGGGCACATTTTTGGCTCTGGAGCAAAATTTCAATTTTTGTGATAAGACCGGTTTTCTTATGGCCAGGCTCGTTTATTAAATCTTGTTTCTCCATTTAATCGCCATATGGAAGCCAGACATATGCTCAATATGTATTTGTTATAGTGATGCTAAGTGCAATGATAGCATCTATCATAGAACACATTAGGCTTTCATCAAGTCTGTGGTCCTTGTCCCATTCTCTATTCTCTACTTTTTCTTTTTAGGATTATATGGGAGGTTGGATTACCCTTTGTAAAGAGTTTCACTTTACATATCTAAATGAAAGAGAACTTTTTCTCTATAGGTATAATTCTACTGCTAGTCTCTTGGTTTTAGGGTACCTGGTGTGGGGAATGGCAATGGAGGAGGGTGTAATATGATGGAAGGCGTATAATAGGGAAACAGACTAAACAGCAAGTCAATCCTTTAAGAATATAACAATAGGTGTAATTCCTTGCCAGACCGTCTCTCTCCTAATATGGTAGCTATTACCATATATGTACTTACCATGATTAGCAAAACATGGACAATTGTTTTGATATAGTCAATATTGATCACTTAAAAATGTAGTGCTCAATTCCAGTAGACTGCCATCTTTTTAGATTTCACTCCGAAAGTGATGTCATCAACTCTCAACTTTGCATATATATAGGATGAGGTAAGAAGGAGGTATTGCAGAATTGCAAAACCAACTGAATATTCTTTTCAATTTTTTCTATGAGTTGATCCTTCTAAAAGCCCATTCTTTTATTTAAAGCTGAAAAGCTAAGAACCATTTGTCAAGAAGTGATTTTATTATTCTTTCCTACACTGTTATAGGCAAATATTATAGTTAAGAGTCGATGACATCACTTCCTGAGTGAAATCTTAAAATATGGCAACTTACTGGAGATGAACACACTACATTTTTAAATGATCAATATTGACTACATTAAAACGTTTCCTGTGTTTTGCTGAATATGGAAAGTATATATATGATTATAGCTATCATATTAAGAGAGGAATGGTCTGGCCAGGAATGTCCCTTTATAATCAACTGCTCCACTTCAATCATATGCAATTTCACATCAATTTAAGCCTGACATCTTTAAATCTAGATTGATTTATTTAACACAGTGCAAAAAAATCAAGGCTCCAAATATCTATAGTTGTGGGAAAAATGAAATCACGTATTATGGAGTTATTTCCCCTTATAACAATAGATTTGAAATTGTTGACTTTAGCATCATCTACTTGATATTTCATCACTATTATGTTTGTGGATACATTGCTTTTAGAGACAAAATTACCCAACACTA